CGGTTAAGACCTGGTTTAGTCCCGGTTTAGTCCTTGTTTAGTCCTGTTTTAGACCTGGTTTAGTCCTGGTTTAGTCCTGGTTAAGACCTGGTTTAGACCTGGTTTAGTCCTGGTTTAGACCTAGTTTAGTCTTGGTTTAAACCTGGTTTAATCCTGGTTTAGTCCCGGTTAAGACCTGGTTTAGTCCCGGTTTAGTCCTTGTTTAGTCCTGTTTTAGACCTGGTTTAGTCCTGGTTTAGTCCTGGTTTAGTCCTGGTTCAGTTCTGGTTTAGTCCTGGTTTAGTTCTGATTTAGGCCTAGTTTAGACCTAGTTTAATCATGGTTTAGTCCTCAGTTCAGTTCAGGTTTAGATCTAGCTTACTCCTGGTTCAGTCCTGGTTTAGACCTGGTTTAGTCCTGGTTCAGTTCTGGTTCAGTCCAGGTTCAGCTCTGGTTCAATCCTGGTTTAGACCTAGTTTAGTCCTGGTTTAGTCCTGGTTTAGTCCTAGTTTAGTCCTGATTTAGACCTAGTTTAGTCCTGGTTTAGTCCTGGTTCAGTTTTGGTTTAGTCCTGGTTTAGTCCATTTTAAACACAGCAATATTGTAATGTAATAAATCACTTTGAAATGACAGTAACAAGTCATAAATAAATAACACATTACAGTTTTAAAGTCACTTGTCCAACAGTGATAATTAAACATGTAAATGAAACAAAACACAACTCCAGGTCTGTTTTTAACGAGGTAACGACATTAAAACACGACTTAAAGCTCACGAGAGTCATTTTTGTGTAATGTAGGACCTTTAAGAGAAGCTGCCTCACAGTTGACTTTCTCCTTCTCTCACCTCCTCTCTGAACAAACAACAACATTTACTTTGAAACTATTTTCTTATCAGCTTTTATTGTGAAAGGGTAAAACAGGAATTCCAGGAAGGAGCCTCAAGGAAAGGAATTAGGGAAGTAAAGAGGGAGAAGCCAGGCAAGGAGTGACAGAAGAAGAGAGAGACAGAGAGAGACTCGCCAGTACTACAGTGAGTACTACTACTACTACTACTACTACTACTACTATTACTACAAGAGACACTACAAGTACACAATAGGAGCGTGTACTTCTCCTGGCTCCTGTGTCCTGCTCCCTTTTCGCTTTTCCTTCCTAAAGCTGAGGAATGTTCACGTCGGAGTAAACACAGACACACCTGGTTCAGGTACGAGGCCCCGCCCCCTGTCACAGACTCTTCTGCTCTGTGCAGTTCTACTCAGACCTGCTTTTATTATTATAGTCAGTACTACAGTTAGAAGTACAACTAATACTACTACTACTATTAGTACTGCTACTACTACTGCTGCTGCTACTACTACTACTACTACTACTACTACTACTACTACTGCTACTACTACTACTACTGCTACTACTATTACTACTGCTACTACACTGACTACTACTACTACTACTACTACTACTACTATTACTGCTACTGCTACTACAACAACAACAACAACTACTACTACTACTACTACTACTACTACTACAATGCTACTACTACAACTACAACAACTACTACTACAACTTCTACTAGAACTAATACTACAACTACTAACACAAGTACTAGTACTACAACAACAACTACTACTACTACAACTACTACACCTACTACTACTGTAACAACTACTACTACAAGTACTAGTGCTACAGCTACTACTACAACTACTACTACAACTTCTACTAGAACTACTACTACAACTACTAACACAAGTACTACTACTACAACAACTACTACTACTACTACTGCTGCTACTACTACTACTACAACTACTACTACTACTACTACAACTACTACAACTACTACACTACAACTACTACTACAACTACTACTACTACTACAACTACTACTACTACTACTACTACTACAACTACTACTACAACAACTACTACAACTACTACTACAACTGCTATTACAACTACTGCTACAACTACTACTACAACAACTACTTCTACTACTACTACTACTACAGTAATAGTAGTACAGTACCAGTGCAGCTGCAGTACAGTTAGTATTAATAGTATTAGTCGTTGTAGTTATTGTTCTTGATACTTTGCTGTGACATCGTGCCGGGGGTGTGTGTCATGCATGTTTAGGAGTTGCTATGGTAACACAATACACACTAGATAGCAGATAGGGACATGCACTTCCAAGAAAAATTGAGATTGCGTGCTGGGTCCAACGACAAAAATAGTACAAAAAAAAAAAAAAAAAAAAAAAAGAAAAAAAGGAAAGAGAGATTTTAATTTCAGTGACACCACAACGATGTGACGTTTCAGGCCAAGCCCTTCTGTTTAGACAGACGTCACATTGCGGTGTCATTGAAATAAAAATTTGGGAACTTCAAAGAGCACAATGCACACGGTCAAACAAGTTTTAAGGCTGTCTGCAAAACTCAACAAACAAACTTTAAAATTAGGAGCCTGTGATCGATGTGAGTATCCGTGATCCTGTTGTGTTTGGTTTTCTAGCTTATGACTGTAATTTTATTTGAAAGTGACTTGTTTAACAGCTCAGATCAGCTCACGTTTTTGTGGTTCCAGCTCTGTCATGTTATTTATGGTCAGATTGTGTTAAAATAAAGATAAGATTAAAGTCTAATAAAGATTAAAGTGTAATAAACAGTGTTGGGAGTGATAAAAGTAACAAATTACTGCGAAAAAAATTGTAATATTTTACTTGGTACAAATATCAATAACGCGTGTCACAATGGTTTTTTTTTTTTTTTTTTACTTGGATTGAAGTGGTGGGTTTTTGTTTTTCTTCACACAAGTTTGTTAAAATCCCCCGTGATATCAGCAGGGGGACGGGCCCTAGACCGCGTAGACCGGCGCAGAACTCCACGCTGCACGAGGCGAAGTGCAGCTCGGGTTTCTGTCAGGGGCGGTCCTAGATTCCAAGTCCTAGTCCGAAAATAGTCCTGGTTTGGTCCTGGTTTAGTCCTGGTTCAGCACTGGTTTAGTTCTGGTTTAGTCCTGGTTTAGACCTGGTTTAAACATAGTTTAGTCCTGGTTTAGACCTGGTTTAGACCTGGTTTAGTCCTGGTTTAGTACTGGTTTAGACCTGGTTTAGACCTGGTTTAGTCCTGGTTTAGTACTGGTTTAGACCTGGTTTAGACTTGGTTTAGATCTGGTTTAGTCCTGGTTCAGCTTTGGTTCAGTCCTGGTTCAGACCTGGTTTAGCCCTGGTTTAGACCTGGTTTAGTCCTGGTTTAGACGTGATTTAGACCTGGTTTAGTCCTGGTTCAGCTCTGGTTTAGTCCTGGTTTAGTCCTGGTTTAGACCTGGTTTAGACCTGGTTTAGTCCTAGTTTATTCCTGGTTCAGTCCTGGTTCAATTCTGCTTCAGTTCTGGTTTAGACCTAATTTAGTCCTAGTTCAGCTCTGATTTAGCCCTAGTTTAGACCTGGTTTAGTCCATATATGGCACAGAAGTCCTTCATCTTCGCACAGTTATTTTGGTGAGTGTAACTTAAAGTGCTGCAATAGTCGTGTAATATTTTACATATTAAACACATTAATATTGTAATATAAGGAACTACTTTGAAATGACAGTAACAATTCATAAATAAATAACACACTACAGTTTTAAAGTCACTTGCCCAACAGTGTTAATAAATTTGTTTAGTGCACTGTTAGTGAAAAGTTTTCTACTGACCTTAAAACTGCACTGACTTTAGCTCTGAGTCAGTCACACACTCAGTGACTCAGAACAAGACACATTCTTCAGGATCAGGACACATCATGATTCACACTGTACATGTTTATATCTGTACGAGGTGTACTTTTAAAACCTGTTCAGGGCGCACGTACCTTTAAATGCTCAGTGAGGACATAAACTTTGACTCGCTTTGATATTTCTGAACTCTAACCATACAATTGTGTCCATCAGGAACTTTAAAAAGGGCGTATTATGTAAAATAGTTTGTTATGGCGTTGTTCCCTCATGCGTGGTGATTGTGTTGTGATTGTGTAGCGCTCTGAAGGGGGGGTGACTCAGGAGGGAGGGGGGCCCAGATCGTAAAAATGAAAGTGAAACTTGTAAAACATGTTAGAACACTTTACTGTCAGTGAATATTGCATTTTTGAAGCAATAAAAGGTAACATGGTGATCTAAAAGTAAAATACCCCGTCATACAAAAATCAGTTGAGAAAAATTCATAAAAAACACATTTGGCTTTTAAATTTTCTACCTCAGTACTTTTATTTTATATTTATTGAGTACTTTTACTTGCCCCTGTATCTGTACTTTTGCTTAAAGTCACAGTATGTTACACAATATGGCACAAAACTTATCTGTTTCCATGGAGAATGTTCTGAACTATGGCTTTAACTTTCTATTGCCATGGAATTATGCAGCAGACACCTCCAGAAAGTTACATACTGAAGCTTTAAGTAACATAATTAAGTATTTTATAACAGTTTAAAAAAATATTTTCTTGTGATTTTTCATGTGCTTTTTTCCAGAGTCCCGAGTTCTGCTCCTTCAAAATAAAAGCCCCGTGGAACTATACAATGAGTGCTGCTCCTTCAAAATAAAAGCCCATGTGGAACTAAACCATGAGTGCTACTCCATCAAAATAAAAGCCCTGTGGAACTATACTATCAGTGCTGCTCCTTCAAAATAAAAGCCCTGTGGAACTAAACCATGAGTGCTACTCCATCAAAATAAAAGCCCTGTGGAACTATACTATCAGTGCTGCTCCTTCAAAATAAAAGCCCTGTGGGACTAAACCATGAGTGCTGCTCCTTCAAAATAAAAGCCCTGTGGAACTATACAATGAGTGCTGCTCCTTCAAAATAAAAGCCCATGTGGAACTGAACCATGAGTGCTACTTCAAAATAAAAAATAACTATCAGTGCTGCTCCTTCAAAATAAAAGCCCTGTGAACTACTATCAGTGCTGCTCCCAAAATGCCCATGTGTGCCTTCAAAATAAAAGCCCTGTGGAACTAAACATGATGCTACTCCATCAAATAAAAGCCCTGTGGAACTATACTATCAGTGCTGCTCCTTCAAAATAAAAGCCCATGTGGAACTAAACCATGAGTGCTACTCCTTCAAAATAAAAGCCCTGTGGAACTAAACCATGAGTGCTGCTCCTTCAAATTAAAAGCCCTGTGGAACTATACAATGAGTGCTGCTCCTTCAAAATAAAAGCCCATGTGGAACTGAACCATGAGTGCTACTCCATCAAAATAAAAGCCCTGTGGAACTATACTATCAGTGCTGCTCCTTCAAAATAAAAGCCCTGTGGAACTATACTATCAGTGCTGCTCCTTCAAAATAAAAGCCCTGTGGAGTTATACCATGAGTGCTGCTCCTACAAAATAAAAGTCACAGGAGAAAAAACAGAAACTACGCTTTAAATCTTAAACTGAACTTAACCCATTTGGAATCTGAACAAAATTAAGACCAATATTTCAAATTCTTTAGACACAAGTTGAACACGAAGCAAAAGATATTTCCTTATTCCAGGTTGGTCCAGATTCTCATTTGGATGATAAACGACAAAACAAAGTGCAGATATTTGTCTCAAAATATGAGATTTTCAAACAAAATTCTCCTCAATCTGAAAATGTGTCTGTTGGATTTGACAGTACTGTTTTAGAAGACAAAATGGAGCCAGAAAACATCCCTGAGATACAACAACAAAATGAACTTAATGAGAATTCCACCTTAAATGATGGATTGCAAAATAATCAGGACCTTTCTGCTTCTAAAAATGACGATTCCACCTTAAAAGATGAATCCACTGGTTCGAATGAGATATGCGTTGGCGTATCTCAGATGGGAAGGGATGGAGATGACAATTCCGCCTTAAATGATTGTGGATTGAATGATCCCGAAGCAGGAGAATCGGATAAGAACAAACTTGAGCTAGAAATGACTAAAGTAAGTAATAATTCCAATACCTTAAATGACGACGTAAAGGATTTAAGTAAAGGTGGAAACTGTGATCTAAACAAGTCGAAACTAGAAGCTGCTGGGGAGCTTTCCACCTTAAAAGAAGCTCACGATCCTACTTCAGAAGACCAGATGACGGCAGAATGTCTTCGTGAAAATGAACAAGAGGTTGGCGAATCTGAAAAAGAACCAGATTTTTTACAAATATCTGAAAATTTAGTTGAAAAAGACGATGTACAATCAGAAAAAACAGAAGTGATGATGCCTTCTTCAGAGCGGGTACATTGTTCGGACGAAGTTGGCGAAGCTTCGGGAACTTCGTCTGAGTCAAAGATCGAAATAAAGGAAGCTGAATGTGCTTCTGTCGATCAAAAACAAACCCCGCCTACTCCGGATATGACAAACCCCGCCCCTTTAACAGTAGCCCCGCCCACTTTGGACCAAACCACGCCCACTTTGTCGGAAAACCCACTTTCTTTTCAAACCGCACCTTCTGACGCCGAAACTCCTTTTGAGCTTCCCGCGCCCACGTCAGACCAGGCCCCGCCCTCGTCCGCCGAGCTGCCGTCGCCCGCCCCCTGTCTCCGCGGTTACCTGCTGAAAAGGGGCGGGGCTCTGAAGGCGTGGAAGCAGCGCTGGTTCGTGTTCGAGGAGGACAGGAACTCGCTGGTTTACTACAGGACGCCGCGCGATGTGACGCCGCTGGGGCAGGTGTGTCTGAGCTACGCCTCGTTCACCTGCGAGGGGGCGGAGCCAGGCGTCTTCTACCTGCACACACCTGAGAGGACCGTCGCACTGAAGGTAACGCACGCAGACACAGGGAGAACATGCAAAGTTGGACAGATGGAGTTAAGATTCAGAATTATCATACACTTAAGGAGAGTATATATAGAATTTTTATTTCAAATTTCCCCAGAAAAGAGGTAAAAATGTTCAAACCAAGTATTATGTTTACTGTAACAACTGCAACTGATTTAGTGTTTGATTTTTGCTTAATGACAAAAGCAGTTTAGTTTAATTTAGTTTAATTTAGTTTAGTACCGTATTTTTCGAACTGTAAGTTGCTCTGGAGTATAAGTCACACCAGCCAAAAAATACGTAATGAAGAAGAAAAAAAAACAGAGCAGTTTAAGTCGCACTTTTAGGGGGACCAGGAACCGACATGTCATCTTGAAAGGGAAGTTCTAGTAATAACATTAGAACAGAGAATAACAGGCTGTTAATGTCACATATGAACAGTTCTTCAGATAAACTATAACATAAACAACAGAACAGAACAAGTTTAACAAACTCTCCATCTCACTCCAAATCACTAAATCTATTCAATTCTTCATCCTCGGTGTCACTTCTGAGCAACTCCTTGACCTCCGGAGGTAAACAGAGCGCCGCTTCCTCTTCTGTGTCGCTGTCGTCAGACTCAGCATCAGTTCCAGTTAGAATTATTCCAGCCTTTCTGAATCCCGACAATATGGTTTTGGTGTCACTGAAGTTCAGGCTTTGTCCATCCATCCAGTGACTCCAGGAAAGTTTCATGGTGCATCCTTCTGGTTTCACAAGTTTCTCACTCACTCCAGACTTTCTTTCTGCTGCTCGATTACAGTTTTCAGCTGCAGATTTCACTACTTTCAGTTTGTAATCTGCAAAATATGATTTTGTTTTTGGGGGCATTTGTGTTCAGTCTTCTCAGTGTCTTTATAAGTTTGTTTAAATGTTAAATTGTTCAGTGGTGCAGAAGTAATGGTGCGATCGACTGACATGATACAGACAGGACAGAGGCTCTTTCTGCAGGAGACATGAGCAGTAGAGCCAAGTGACAGTGGTACAGGAGGAACAGGAGCAGCAGATACTGACACACAAGACTAGAGTCTAAAATTTTAATATATAAGTTACACTAGAATATAAGTCTCAGGACCACCCAAACCATGAAAAAAAGTGCAACTTATAGTCCAAAAAATATGGTATATAGAATAATCTAAAAGTCTAACTCTGTAGAAGCCTTAAAGAAAAAAAAAAAAAATATATATATATATAGAGAGAGAGAGAGAGAGAGCTCTGGAATGAATGAATTATACATTACAGTTTATTTGTTTTCATTTATATTTTGTCTCTTATATATACAGTAAGTCGTAAGTGAAATTTAAATGCAAACTTGCTGTTTTTGCTGCTTTTCTTTCTTGGAATTCTGTCATTGTTTAAAAGGGTTAGGCATTATAAGTACTTTTTATTTCAGCCCAAACCCTTTCCGTCGTGATCCATGGGGTTGTAGTTTATGTTTAGTTTAGTTTTGTTTTGTAGTGCTGCAAAATGACCAAATAAACTACTACTACTACTACTACTACTACTGCTGCTACTACTACTACTACTATTTGTGTTGTTTTAGGCTCAGAGTGACAAGCTGAAGTTCTACTGGCTCCAACAGCTGCAGCTCCAGCGATGGATACGCACACCTACGAAGGATATGACAGGTACTACTACTACTACTACTACAGGTACAAGTACGACTGCTGCTTATGTTCCAGGGACTACTAATACTGCTACTACTACTGCTGCTACTTATGTTCCAGGTACTACTAATACTGCTCCTTCTTATTCAACAGATACTACTAATACTGCCAGTACTGCTGCTTCTCATGCAACAGGTATTACTACTACTACTACTACTACTACTACTACTACTACTACTACTACTACTACTACTCCTCCTTCTTATCTAACAGATGCTACTAATACTACTACTTCTGCTTCTTATGCAACAGGTACTACTACTACTACTACTATTACTACTATTACTACTTCTACTACTACTACTGCTGCTGCTTCTTACACGACAGATACTACTACTACTACTACTTTTGCTCCTTCCTATCCAACAGGTAATACTACTACTACGACGACTACTACTGCTACTACTACTGCTCTTTTTTATCCAACAGATACTACTACTACTACTACTACTGCTTCTTATGCAACAGATACTACTACTGATGCAAATTTTGATACATCCAAGGATAAAATATTATCAACAAATAAAACTAAACCAACTGGACCTGCTGCACTACATAAGCTATGTAAGTCTACTACTACTACTACTACTACTACTACTACTACTACTACTACTACTGCTGCTGCTGCTTCTGATGCTACTGTTACAAAGGGTACTACAGGTACTACTACTATTACTACTGCTACTACGAGTGCATCTGATGCTGCTACTGCTTCTACAATTTCTACTCTTGTTTCTAGTACTATGGTACTATACTACTAATACTACTAATACTACTAATATTAATACTGCTTCTACAACAGTACTATTAATACCTCAAAAACTACAAAACTTGGCTATGATTGTGTAAAAAGTGTGTTTGGGATTTTCTGTCTGAGTGTAATCCTCGTGCGGAGAAGTCAGCTGAGGGAGGATTAGTCCTGGAATCTGACCCACAACCTCACACCAAGAAATACAAATAAATGAGGGAAATTCACAGTCCGCCTGGTGTGTATTTGGTGAACTGAGATTTTACTCCGGCTCGGACTTGGTTCAGATCGTGTGTGGATCTGATTTAGTTGTTTTTAAGTCCTGGTTTAGACCTTGACTCCTGCTGTTTTAGCCATAGTTTAGGCCTAATATTAGTTTGTCCTGCGTAAAGAGACGGTATGTCAATAGGTACTCACAGGAGGTACTGCAAGGCGATCGCGAAATCTACGGTTGATTAGACTTTTTTGTTTTTAATATTTCTTAATTTTTGAAGTATGAGGATGAACTGGTTTTCTGTGGGTTCTGTCTGTTCGCTTCTGTTCCCTGTCAAACTGCAAACACATTGGCCCGGATTTGATCGTTTCTTGTTAGGCTGCGTGTGAAGAATTCTGTTCCAGCTTCATTTTTACGCACAGCAGAACTGAAGCTCCACACATACCCAGTGTTGGGAAGGTTACTCTTAAAATGTATTCCCCTACAGATTACAGATTACATACCCCAAAATGTAGTTTGTAACGTAATCCATTAAATTACTTAAAGTGAGTAACGTAATCTGAATACTTTGGATTACTTGGTTTAGACCTGGTTTAGTCCTGGTTTAGACCTGGTTGTAGTCCTGGTTTAGACCTGGTTTTAGACCTGGTTTAGACCTGGTTTTAGTCCTGGTTTAGTCCTGGTTTAGACCTGGTTTAGACCTGGTTTTAAACCTGGTTTAGACCTGGTTTAGTCTTGGTTTAGACCTGGTTTTAGACCTGGTTTAGAGCTGGTTTAGTCCTGGTTTAGACCTGGTTTAGACCTGGTTTTAGTCCTGGTTTAGACCTGGTTTAGACCTGGTTTAGTCCTGGTTTAGAGCTGGTTTAGTCTGGTTAGACCTGGTTTAGACCTGGTTTAGTCCTGGTTTAGACCTGGTTTAGTCCTGGTTTAGACCTGGTTTAGACCTGGTTTAGTCCTGGTTTAGACCTGGTTTTAGACCTGGTTTAGTCCTGGTTTAGACCTGGTTTAGTCCTGGTTTAGACCTGGTTTAGACCTGGTTTAGTCCTGGTTTAGACCTGGTTTTAGACCTGGTTTAGAGCTGGTTTAGTCCTGGTTTAGACCTGGTTTAGACCTGGTTTTAGTCCTGGTTTAGAACTGGTTTTAGTCCTGGTTTACTCCTGGTTTAGACCTGGCTTAGACCTGGTTTTAGTCCTTGTTTAGTCCTGGTTTAGACCTGGTTTAGACCTGGTTTTAGTCTTGGTTTAGTCCTGGTTTAGACCTGGTTTTAATCCTGGTTTAGACCTGGTTTAGACCTGGTTTTAATCCTGGTTTAGTCCTGGTTTAGACCTGGTTTTAGTCCTGGTTTAGTCCTAGTTTAAACCTGGTTTAGACCTGGTTTTAGTCCTGGTTTAGACCTGGTTTAGACCTGGTTTTAATCCTGGTTTAGTCCTGGTTTAGACCTGGTTTAGACCTGGTTTTAGACCTGGTTTAATCCTGGTTTAGACCTGGTTTAGACCTGGTTTTAGTCCTGGTTTAGACCTGATTTTAGTCCTGGTTTAGTCCTGGTTTAGACCTGGTTTAGACCTGGTTTAGACCTGGTTTAGACCTGGTTTAGACCTGGTTTAGACCTGGTTTGGAGCTGGTTTGGAGCTGGTTTGGACCTGGTTTAGTGTCTGGCAATGAGTGGGGGGAAAAAAAAGGGATATAGCCCAAAATATCAAAACAGGAAAATAGCGCCATGTAATCCATTTATTTCAACAAAGTAACTGTAATCCAATTACCACTCACTGAAACAGTAACTGTAACCAAATACAGTTACTCATAATTTGTACTCTGATTACGTAACTCTGGTACATGTAATCTGTTACTCCCCAACACTGCACATATCTACCACGCATCGGGAAGGGTTCAGGCAACTTCATTCCTCGGGCACATTAACCAGGCTCCGCAGACGTCTCCTCTCACTCCTCAGATCAGAATGACCGGAAAAGTTCAGTGTCCCAAATCAAACTCTTGTCCGTGCGCAACGTGTCTCCTCTCTCATTTAGTCAGATCATTAAAAAAGTCACAGTTTTCGCCAGTTTTTCAGAACTCACAGCGAGCCCAAATTGCAGCTTTAACCTCAGGCCTGAATTAGTTTTGGTCAGACTCAGGTTTATTTCTTTCGTGGAACGAGTCGAGTCTTAAACCGGAGACGGAGCTACAGTAGATTCAGCTCAGGATTTCAGGATAAGCCTGGACTTGTTAAGCGACTTCGATGGAAACCCCCATAGTATTGAATGTACAATAACAGAGCAGCTGTTTATACACAAAACTAGGCCCAATTTAATATAAAATACAATTGTCTGCCATATATATATCGTAGGGGGTCTTTGCTCCAGCTCTCCTTCAATTTGGGGGTCCCTGGCCTGAAAAATGTTGAAGACTTTACAGATAAAAACAGCAAAATAAAAACACCAGGATCATGTAGATTGGGTTAATATGAGCATTTTAAGACCAAAATGATGAGTTCACTGCAGCAGTTACAGAGAGAGGTGACAGTTTTTCAGTGTAAAGTCAACTGGAAACAGTAGATATTCACTTCCTGTTTGGAAAGAGGTGGCGAGTGGGTTAGATGTGTCCATTTATATTTACAGTCTATGGCTCATACTGGTTTAAATAAAGAACTGCGGTCACAACTGAACCTGGGTTTACCAACTGCACTGGACAAAAACAAGATTCGGGTTCTCCACGCCTCATGTGAAAGCTCAGAACCTCCAGAATTCACTTGTCATTTGGTGATTTTGTGTTTTGTTCATCTTGGTGATTATGTCCTGTGTTTTTGACACAACTAGGTCATGTTTACTGCTAATTCTACAAGTCCTCCTTTTAAACCTGTTCGGTCACGCTGACAAAGGAGAAATTCAATTCAAACGTTTCGCAGCTCATCAAAGCTGCTTCTTCAGTTCTGGGCAGACGCTGGTGCACACGTTTGTCCAGTTGACAAATTGAATTTCTCCTTTGCCATTGTCACTGAACAGGTCTAACTCTTCAGTTCTCCTCCTGTCCTGTAGAGGCAGAGCTGTTCCCTCAGCTACAGTGTTCAAAGGAGGTGAACACAGAAGAAGTTTCAAGTCAACCTCTTCTTCTTCAGTTCAGCCTCAAGCATCCTTTCATCGAGCTACAGTGAGTATCCTACACCCACAGTCTTTCACGTTCCAAACAGGAAGTGAGCATGGGGGCTCCATCAACTCTAGCTCCAATACACTTAACACTGAGAAAATACTGTCCCTCTCTCTGTAACTGCTGCAGTGAGCCTTGTCATTTTGGCCTTAAAATGTTCATTTTAGCCCATTCTACATGATCCTGATGTTTGTATTTTGCTGTTTTGTATATTTTGTGTTATACTACATGCTTACAACAGATACTACTACTATTACTACTACTTCTACTACTACTACTACTACTACTACTACTAGTACTAGTACTACTACTACGCGAGGCCCGACCTCCCACCCCCCGTAAGGTGTCCGGGTTTTCACATACGGAAATATGGTCACCCTAACTACTGCTCCGTCTTATCCAACAGATACTACTACTATTACTAATACTATTGCTTCTTATGCAACAGATACTACTACTACTACCACTACTGATGCAAATTTTGACATATCCAAGGATAAAATATTATCAACAAATAAAACTAAACCAACTGGACCGGCTTAGCTGCACGGCATAAGCTACGTAAGTCAAGTAGGTTTAGATTTACATGTTGATACTAGTACTACTACTACTACTACGACGACGACTACTACTACGACGACTGCTGCTTCTGCTTTTGATGCTACAGGTACTACTGCTGTTACAAAGGGTACTACAGGTACTACTACTATTACTACTGCTGCTACTACCACTGATGCTGCCACTGATTTCTACTTTTGTTTCTGGTACTATGGTACTAATACTACTAATACTACTAATAATACTAATACCAATACTGCTACTACAACAGCTGCTATTACTACAACTACTCACAGTTTGGCTGTAGAAACTAGTTCTATTAATACCTCAAAAGCTACAAAAACTGGCTATGATTGTGTAAAAAGTGTGTTTGGGATTGGGGTTCATTTTAGCCCACTCTACATGATCCTGATGTTTGTATTTTGCTGTTTTGTACATTTTGTGTTATACTACATGGTTACAGGTCTAAAACAATCCTTAACCAGGTCTAAACCAGGACTAAAGCCACTGTCAATTCTCCCAAACAGGAACAGTCTGAAGAAACGTTCATCGACTGAGGTGTCCCAGAGCGTCTTCCACATACCAACCCCGCCTCCAACTCCGCCCACGACATCATCAGCCAATCATAGCGCAGGAAAAGCACCAGCGACTGGGAGCAAGGCGACCAATGACAACAAAGGAGATTCCACAGCGGCCAATAGGAATACAGAAGTGACGCTAACCAATCAGAATACAGGAATAGAAGAAGAAAGTCGAAAAGAAGAATCGTCAGTCAGTCTGAGCAAAGATTTGACGACAGACGATCAGGACACACGACAAGATCTCAAATCTACCAAAACAAAGTCCATTTCAGGTGAGTAATTACTGCATATTCATGTGTTTTTCAAAATAAAACCAAAAATATGAAAACGAAAAAAAATTAAATTAAATTTCTTCAGGACTGAGACCAGGACTGATACCAGGACCAGACCAGGACTGAGACCAGGACTGAGACCGGAACTGAGACCGGGACTAAACCAGGACTGAGACCAGGAGAGAGACCAGGACCAGAACAGGACTGAGACCAGGACTGAGACCGAGACTGAGACCAGGACTAAACCAGGACTAAACCAGGACTAAACCGGGACTGAGGACTCGGAGGTGTGCCTGCGTACACTGTCGGGTGATCAGGACTGAGACTGGGACCAGACCAGAACCAGACCAGGACTGAGACCGGGATCAGACCAGGCCTGACACCAGGACTGACACCGGGACTGAGACTGGGACTGGGACCAGCCAGAACCAGACCAGGACTGAACCAGGACTAAACCAGGACTAAACCAGGACTGAGGACTCGGAGGTGCACCAACGTAGACTGTCGGGTGATCAGGACTGAGACTAGGACCAGACCGGACCCTAACCCTAACCTTTATTCCATTTCCAATTTGGATCAACTCTTCTCTGTTTGGTTTAATAGGACATGTTCAGACCACGCCCACACCGTCAAAAGCCACGCCCACACCACCGAAAGCCACGCCCACACCGTCAAAAGCCCCGTCCACTACCGCCCAAACCTCAACAACTTTAGGTCACGTGACTCTGAGGAGGAGGAGCCGCTCGTTCCTCAGGAGAAACACCTCGTCATGGACCGAGAGGAGTAGACTGCAGCAAGAACTACAGGACCAGAAGGTACTGGACCATGTTTTGGACTAAACCAGGACTAAACCAAGACTAAACAAGAGCTAAAGCAGGACTAAACCAGAACTAAACCAGACCTTAGCCTGGATTTTACCAGGACTACACAGCGATTAAACCAGGACTAAACTAGGACTAAATAAGGACTGAACCGGGATTGAACCAGAACCAAATCAGAGTTGAACCAGAGCTAACCAATGGACTAAACCGGGACTAAACCAGACCTTAGCCTGAAATAAATGGGGACTAAATCCAAATTCAGCCAGGACTACAAAACAACTAAATGAGGACTAAACCAGGACTAAATCAGGTCTAAAACAAGTCTGGACCAGGACTGAACTAGAGAAAAATTACAGTTAAACCAGAACTAAACCAGGACTAAACCAGAACTAAACTGGTATTTAATCAGAGTTAAACCAGAACTAAACCAGGACTAAACCAGAACTAAACTGGTATTTAATCAGAGTTAAACCAGAACTAAACCAGGACTAAACCAGAACTAAACTGGTATTTAATCAGAGTTAAACCAGAACTAAACCAGGACTAAACCAGAACTAAACTGGCTCTAAATCAGAGTTAAGCCTGGACTAAACCAGACCTTACCCTGGAATAAATGGGGACTAAATCCAAAATCAGCCAGGACTACAAAGCGACTAAACCAGGACTAAATCAGGTCTGAACCAGAAATAGAATTAAATCAAAGTTAAACCAGAACTAAAGCCAGACTAAATCAGAATTAAACCAGGACTAAACCAGAACTAAATTAGAACTAAACCAGAATTAAATCATAACTAAACCAAAACTAAACCAGAACTAAACTGCCATTAAATCAGAGTTAAACCAGATCTAAACCAGGACTAAATCTGAGTTAAACCAGGACTAAACCAGACCTTATATTAGAATATATTGGTACTAAACCCAAATTCAACAAGGATTTCACTGCACAGCGACTAAACCAGGACTAAATCAGGACTAAACCAGGTCTAAACCAAGACTAAACCAGGTCCCAACCATACAAACCAAATGTTCTTTCTTGGGTTTCTGGTCTTGTCAGGACTTGGTGGCGGTTCTTCAGAAGGCGTTGAATATGTGTCAGTCTGAGAAGCGGTCTAGTAGACTGGACCAGCAGGATCATAACCAGACTGAGGAGGACCGGGATCTGAGGAGGCGCCTGTTAGAGACCCAAGTCCAGCTCGAGGACCTTCAGACCAGCCTGAACCAGAAGGACCAAATCATCAAGGACCTGAAGAAGGAAATCCGAGAACTCAGCGAGAAGAACATCGCCAAACAGCAGGTGAAAAGTAACAACTGCAGTAGTAGTACTTACTGTACTTACTGTAGTATTTGTATTAGTAGCAGTAGTAGTAGTATGAGTAGTAGCAGCAGTAGCATTAGTAGTAGTGGCAGTAGTAGTAGTATGAGTTGTGGCAGTAGTAGAAGCAGTAGCTGTAGTAGAAATAGAAGTAGTAGTATTAGTAGTAGCAGCAACAGTAGTCGTAGCAGTTGCAGTAGTAGCTTTAGTAGTAGCAGTAGTAGTAGTAGTAGTAGTAGTAGTAACAGTAGTAGTAGTAGTAGTAGTAGTAGTAGTAGTAGTAGTAGTAGTAGTAGTAGTAGTAGCAGTAGTAATAGCAGTAGCAGCAGTGGTGGTAGTAGTAACAGTAGTAGTAGCAGTTGCAGTAGTAGTTTTAGTAGCAGCAGAAGTAGTTGCAGTAGTAGTAGCAGTAGTAGCAGTAGTAGTAGTAGTAGTAGTAGTAGCAGCAGCAGTAGCAGCAGCAGTAGAAGTAGCAGTAGCAGTAGTAGTAGTAGTAACAGTAGTATGAGTAGTAGCAGTTGCAGTAGTAGTTTTAGTAGTAGTAGTAGTAGTAGTAGCAGCAGTAGCAGCAGCAGTAGAAGTAGCAGTAGTAGTAGTAGTAACAGTAGTATGAGTAGTAGCAGTTGCAGTAGTAGTTTTAGTAGTAGTAGTAGTAGTAGTAGTAGTAGCAGCAGTAGCAGCAGCAGTAGAAGTAGCAGTAGTAGTAGTAGTAACAGTAGTATGAGTAGTAGCAGCAGCAGCATTAGTAGTAGTAGCAGTAGAGGTAGGAGTAATAGTAATAGTAGTAGCAGTAGTAACAGCAGTAGCTTTAGCGGTAGTAGTAGTAGTAGTAGCAGTAGCAGTAGTAGTAGTAGTAGTAGTAGTAGTAGTAGTAGTAGTAGTAGTAGTAGTAGTAGTAGTAGTAGTAGTAGTAGCAGTAGTAGCAGTAGTAGCAGTAGTAGTAGTAGCAGTAGCTAGTAGTAGTAGTAGTAGTAGTAGTAGTAGTAGTAGTAGTAGTAGTAGTAGTAGTAGTAGCAGTAGTAGTAGTAGTAGTAGTAGTAGTAGTAGTAGTAGTAGTAGTAGTAGTAGTAGTAGTAGTAGTAGTAGTAGTAGTAGTAGTAGTAGTAGTAGTAGTAGTAGTAGTAGTAGTAGTAGTAGCAGTAGCAGTAGTAATACTTGTAGTATCAATAACGTCCTTCTCGTTGCAGGTGATTGAGAAGTTGTCCTTGTCCGTGACCCAGTGGTCGGAGCAGAACTCAGACGTGGACCTGCAGAGCGTCCAGACCCTGATCCTGCAGAACCAGAACCTCCAGGACGACCTGAGAGCCTTCAGGAACCAGAACTACTTCCTCAACTCTGAGATCCACCACCTGAGCGGACTGTGGAGGACCAGCACGGAGGGCCAGAGGGTCCTCATGAACAAGGTCTCCGGACTAAAGAGGACTAACCCGGACTAACCCGGACTACGTCAGGTCTAAACTAGGACTAAAACAGAACCAACCCAGAGACAAAATGGGACAAAACTAAAACTAAACAGATCTGAACCTTAGACTTTTTTTGCTGGAGGGTCTGTCACCTGCTTGTCCTCATGGAGATGTTATTGCTTCGTCTAGAATGTTCCGCAGTATAGATTAAACTATCTCAAGGGAGACAACTATAGACTACATTACACGTCAGATCTGTGGAGAGTCGCCCCTATTCACCAAGAGAATTATTGTATTTTTGAGCAATAAAAACAGCCGTGATGAATAAATGCTAGATATATGTGTTTAATGTCATATCATGGAACATTCCAGGCAAAGCAATAACATCTCCATGGAGACAAGCACCATTATCTGTACCTAGGCCATTATTAAACTAGGACTAAACCAGGACTAAGCTGGGACGACACCGGAACTACATGTAAACTGGGACAAAATCTGTATAAAGCCGAAACTAAACCTGAACTATTCCTGGACTAAACTAGGATCAGGGTTCCCACGGTCATGGAAATCCTAGAAAAGTCATGGAAATTAAAAATGTCATTTTCCAGGCCTGGAAAAGTTTTGGAATTTTAGTATCTCTTTCACGCAGCTACAGCGTTCTGTTAAGTTTTCATTAGGCTATTATGATTATTTCCAAACGTTTGCACCTTTTGTTTAAAAGAGACGACATTAAACGCACTGACAGGATTTTGAATGTTAAAAAACTATAATCCAAAACCATAAGGTGAGTGGAAAGGATTGACATTTCAGATTTAGCCCTTAATGTCTGATCAATTCTACACATGTAGGTGCCATAAAGTCACTTTAGGTCAGGGGTGTCAAACTCAAATTCACAGAGGCCAAAATTAAAAACTGGGACTAAGTCGTGAGCCAAACTAAATATTTATTGAAAAAAATTCAGCATCTGCAGGTTTTCTCTTCTTTCGAGATATGTAATGTTAAACCTTTTCTCATTAAAATAAATGTTTAATAATAGTTTTTGCTTAAACATTGAGCACAGCACAAAAGCATAATAATAGCATAAAATAATAACAAAATCTTAAATTAATAATCTCTCTATAGCCTATCTGTGGGCCAGCTCTAATACATTTTTGATATGATCTTAAGGGCCAAATATAATTATATCGCAGGCCAAATTTGGCCCCCAGGCCTGAGTTTGACATGTCTGCTTTAGGTAATAAAAAAAGTCATGAAAAAGTTTTGAAATTTTTTCAGTGAAATTGAGTGGGAACCCTGTAGGATTAAAACACCAGGACCTGGACCATGTTCACATCAAAATCAAACCCAAACTAACCTAATCTAAGATCGATAAACAGAGTCTAGAGCAGACTCAAGTCTCCTCTGGCCTGTGGTGTTTTGTGTTTGACTGTTTGTGTTTTGGTTTGTTCCAGGCCTCGGTCCAGAGGGAGCAGCACCTGAGGTTCCTGAGGGAACTGCAGGAGGTCAGTCTGAGGGACGGGCCCCAGAGTGAGGCCCTCAGAAGGCTCCTCCAGGACACTCTGAACCAGGAGCAGAGCCAGGAGCACAGTTCAGTCCAGGTCAACAGGTCAGAGCTCACACACAGACTAGAACAGGTCTTCCTCCAGCAGCTACAGTCACTTTAAACCCCTGTAATAATGATCCTTGTCTTAGGGAACGGGACCAGTACGGGTTTCCTCTGGTACAACACTTTGAGGTGGAAGATATTACACTACTGGCCAAGATCCAGGCTCCAGATTTGAGGACTCAGCAGAACCAGGTACAGACCAGGACTAAAGTCTTGACTCTAAACAGTTCTAAACCAAGACTGAACCAGGACTAAACCAAAGACTCCTGCCTGTGCTGATACTTTTGCAGTGGAGAGGCTTATGTCTCAAAGATGTTTGGAGGTCATATCAACAGGTTTCAATGTTCAGGGTTAGGTCCAACCGAGCTGAGCAGGGTCTGATCCATAGGTGGTCTGACCTGTACAGCTGCAGTTTGTGAACTCGCAAACATCACGAGGATCCATCTTGAATTTCTCCAGCTGTAAGTTTCAAACTCACTCAGCAGGGAGGACCAATCACAGAGCAGCACTGAGGTTTGTGTGAAGCCAAAGTGAAGCACCCAAACAAACTGAAACAAACATGATATGCAGACAGATGTACTTTCTTTATTTAGCTTGAAAATGTGATACTTTGCAGAAGGTAACTACTTTGTGCATTTGTGGGATGTAACAAAAGTTTGGCTTTTCGGTTTGTTCCACTGTTGCAACCAATCAGGCTAAAATATTAGTCATGACATTCTTCTTTTTCTCTTGATAAATGCTCCAGACCCCATAAAGAGATAAATACTTTATTGATCCCAAAGTAAATTTAAACTAGAAAAGCACTCAGAGAGCGCAGACCTCCGCCAAGGACTACAGTCCCCCTCATATTAATTGTGTTTTCCATAAATATTTGTCTCGTATCTTTCAATTTGGAATATGAAAGAGGATCCCATTGTCCATCCCTGAGTCAAATTTCATGGGGTTTGGTCAATAATTAACCGAGATATTGAGAAACAAAATTTTTGGCCCCATTTACCACAATGTTAACTAAAATTTCAAAGTGATCCAGAATCCAGGATTTCTTCTGGATCACCCCCAAAATGAAAGCAGTTCTTCCTTTTCACATTTCCAACAAATCCTGAAAATTTCATCAAAATCGGTCCATAACTTTTTGAGTTATGTTGCTAACAGACAAACAAACAAACAAACAAACAGACAAACAGACAAAAACAAACAAACAAACAAACAAACAGACAAACAAACAGACAAACAGACAAACGCTGGCAAAAACATAACCTCCTTGGCGGAGGTAACTATTTTGTGGCCTTATATCTAGGACTGTGCAAAAATATTGAAATATCAATATATCGTATCGTTTAATGTGATGATACAGTATCGATGTAATGGGCTGCTGTATCAATATATCGCCAAGAGTGTTTTTTGGTATATTTTATTCAATTATTTTGTTACAGCTATAGTTTTGTTGCTTGTTTAGTGGAAAGAAACTCGTTTATGCGACACATTTCACATTTTCACAGTTTTGATGATTTAAATGTTTGTGTTTAATATGTACTTTGCCCAAGAAGTGGTTTAACAAAGACTTTTAGTATCACAGCCTTTATTTTTATTGAACCAAATTGAATCTATTTGAAATTATATCGGATTGGATCGAAAGTGCACTGTATCGAGATGTGTATGGTATCGGCAACTTCTTCATAATGCCCAGCCCTACTTATCTCCCATGATGAAGAGGATTAAATAAACCAAAAATGTATCCTGACTTGCAGAGGTGGGGACTTGCAAGCAGTGTTGGGGAGTAACAGATTACATGTACCAGAGTTAAGTAATCAGAGTACAAATTATGAGTAACTGTATTCAGTTACAGTTACTGTTTCAGTGAGTGGTAATTGGATTACAGTTACTTTGTTGAAATAAATGGATTACACAGCGGTATTTTCCTGTTTTCACATTTTGGGTTAAACCAGGACTAAAACAGGACTAAACCAAGACTAAACCAGGTCTAAACCAGGACTAAACCAGGTCTAAACCAGGACTAAACCAGGACTAAACCAGGACTAAATCAGGAATAAATCAGGACTAAAAACCAGGATTAAACCAGGTCTAAACCAGGACTAAAACCAGGTTTAAACCAGGACTAAACCAGGTCTAAACCAGGACTAAACCAGGTCTAAACCAGGACTAAACCAGGTCTAAACCAGGACTAAACCAGGTCTAAACCAGGACTAAACCAGGTCTAAACCAGGAATAAATCAGGACTAAACCAGGAATAAACCAGGTCTAAACCAGGACTAAACCAGGTCTAAACCAGGACTAAACCAGGACTAAACCAGGAATAAATCAGGAACTAAACCAGAACTAAACCAGGACTAAACCAGGTCTAAACCAGGAATAAACCAGGTCTAAACCAGAACTAAACCAGGACTAAACAATATGACACATAACAGTAGGTGGACATATTTTAAGGCAGCAGTGATCTCATATAAAAATAATTTCCCTATCAATAATATTTTTAATTTGGTCAAGTAAAGACTGGACTTTTTATTTTCTTTTAGCAGATAAAACTTCTTATGTTAAGATTCTAGCCTTTGCTTCTCTACACTAAACAAAAGTCTGTTCATGGAGACTTGGGCTCAGACAATTTGAAAAGAACAAACATGAATTTTCAGGATGTGGTTGGTGCATTCATGTAGTTTCAAAAAAGCACGACAATATCAAGTAATCCAAAGTATTCAGATTATGTTACTCACTTTAAGTAATTTAATGGATTACGTTACAAACTACATTTTGGGGTCTGTAATCTGTAGGGGAATACATTTTAAAAGTCACCTTCCCAACACTGCTTGCAAGTCATGACTTCGACTCGAGTCAGACTTGAGTCACTATTTTTAGGATTTAGTAAAATGGACTTGAGGCCTAAGACTTGAGAAGCACTTCTAAATCTGAATTCTTTCTATTCTGACTGTAATGACTCTCTCTAAGATCCTGTCAAGACATTTAATTTACAATTCATCTTAAAATTCATATAAATTGTAAAAATCTAAGCTCTATTTGATACTTTGGTTTAAAGACTTGGACTTGACTTGGACTTATGACCCGTGACTTGAGACTCCACTTGGACTTGCTTGTATTTGACTTGAGACTTGACTCGGCCTTCAGGTCAAATACTTGAGACTTACTTGAGACTTGCAAAAACAGCTTGGTCCCACCTCTGCTGACTTGTTTCTCCACAGGATGCCATTGAGCGCCCCCTTGTGGCTCGGTGGGAGCAGCACATGTCCAGTTGCCGCGGTAACTTAAGCGCTTCCCCGGAACTGAAGAACCTGATCCGGACTGGAATCCCGTCCCACTTCAGGCCCCAAGTCTGGAACTGGATCATCCGGACGCGGACTCAGAGGGACCAGGACCCACTCCAATACCAGCAGGTACTGTACCAGGAGGAAGAAACCCGAGCAGAACTTAACCAGGACTAAACAAGGACTAAACCAGAAGAAGTGAAGTAGTAGTAGCAGGTTTAGTAGTAATTCATAAAAGTAGCAGTAGTGTGTAGTGGTAGTAGTAGTGGTACTTTAATCTGTGTATGTTTATTTGTTTTTCAATATAAAAACAAAAAGAAGAAAACGAAAAAAACAACTATTTTCTTCATTATTTGTCTCCAAAACCAAAATGAAAAAACAGATAATGATTTGGTTTTTCGGTTTTCAATTTTGTGTTTAAATGAATAATTTCCCCTTTTTCCGTGACTTAAACTGAGATGCCGGTCTGAACCAGGACTGAACCAGGACTAAAACAGGACTAAAACTGGACTAAACCTGGACTAAATCATTTTCAGTCTGGTCATGGTCTCAGTCCTGGTCTGGTTCCGGTCTCAACCCCGGTCTCAATCATGGTCTCAATCACGATCTGGTCCTGGTTTTGCCCCCGCGTCAGTACCGGTCTCAGTCCTGGTCCTGGTCTCGGTCTCAGTCCTGGTCTCAATCCTGGTCTGGTTCCAACCTCATTCCCGATCTCAGTCCCAATCTGGTCCTGATCTCAGTCCTGGTCCTGTTCCCGGTCTCAGTCCTGGTCTGGCCCCAGTCTCAGTCCCGTTTTCTTTCTCGGTCTCAGTCCTGGTTCTGGTCCCGGTCTGGTCCCGGTCTCAGTTCTGGTCTGGTCTCAGTGTCAGTCCCGGTCTCAGTCCCGTTTTCTTTCTCGGTCTCAGTCCTGGTTCTGGTCCCGGTCTGGTCCTGGTCTCAGTTATGGTCTGGTTCTGAACTCAGTCCTAGTCTGGTCCCTGTCTCAGTCCCTGTCTCAGTCCCGGTCTGGTTCTGGTCTGGTCCTGGACCTGTTTTAGTCCTGATTCAATCCGTATGCGCAAAAGTCCAACATCACAGTTTAAGTCACGGAAATGGGAAACGGCCGTAATCTGTTTTTTCAATTTTTCATTTAAACACAAAATCGAACACTGAAAAAACAAATCATTTTAATTTTCTTATTTTTGGTTTTATATTGAAAAACAAATGAACGAACGATACACAGATTTACATGGATTTACTGATTGTAGTTGTGCCGTTTCTTCTCTTAGGTCTGTGAGCAGATGGAGTCCACCCCACAGTCCAGACCCTGGTCCAGGCAGATCGATCTGGACTTGCCCCGGACGCTCTGCACCAATCACAACTTCAGCTCTCCCTCAAGCCCCGCCCTCCAGCAGCTCCGGAGAATCCTGTTGGCTTTCAGCTGGGAGAACCCGTCCATAGGGTACTGCCAGGGCCTCAACAGGTCAGTCCTGGGTTTACAGACCTGGTTAGGATCTCTCGGGTCTGTTTTAGGCCTTGTTTAAACCTGGCTCTGGCTGTTGAAGGATTGCTGGACTGCTGCTGCTGGTCCTGGAGTCTGAGGAGGACACGTTCTGGGGTCTGAAGGCCGTGGTGGAGAACATCATGCCTCCAGACTACTTCACCCCCAGCCTGGTCGCGTCGCAGGTACAACTCCATGTTCTAATGTTGTTACCTCATCAAAAGAGGTCAAAAGATCTGGAATGATTGATTTTTTTTTTTTTTTTTTCGTTTCAAATTGTCAATGAAATATTGTTATACAGATGCAGCAGCCTTGTAATTATGATAAAAAAAAAAACAAGAAAAAAAGAAGAAGAATTCATCAACTGAATGTGGTAGGGGTTAGGTTGTCAATCAAACTCCCATATTTCTCGCCGGTGCGCTGGGATTGGTGGTTTACATTTGCCTCCCACACATTCCACATATGCAAGACGCTAGACCAACGCAGCGATTCTTAGAGACCTTTTGAAACTGTCGTTTCCTCGCAGTTTGCACAAAGTTTGTTGCAACGGCAATGGCAAAAATAACGTCTTTCCCCTTGCACTTTCAGGGGTTCTTGCAAACTGCCTAGCGTATTCCAATTCCTGACCTAGTTGCTGGAGAGAAATGAAATTGAGCACAGGCACTAGGTGGCTCCAGCCTGACTAATAAAGGCACCAACAGTATTTTGAACGTTAAAAAAATATAATACCAAACCATAAGGTGAGTGGAAAGAGTTAACATTTCATATTTAGCCCTAAAAGTCTGATAAATTCTACACATGTAGGTGCTGTAAGGTCATGAAAAATTAACTTTAGGTCATGAAAAAGTCATGGGAAAGTTTTGAAATTTTGTCAATGAAAAAGAGTGGGAACCCTGAATCCACGACCAGTTCGCCGCAAAAGAAAGTCAGTTTTTGTGGTCACTGAAAGAAGTAGAGAAGGGGAAAAGGAGTGAATCCAAACTAAGGTGATTCTTGGAGATTCCTTCCAGCGATGGCGAGACTGAATGGACAAAGGGTCTAAAGACTTGACTGACTCGTTGGTCGGTAAATTACTTCTGGACTTCAGGCAACTTCAACAACAATTCTGAATGACGCACCGACTGTAAACAAGCATGGTTTCTAGCGTAAGGAGGAGACGGGAGGAGGTGTTTCTACTTAGGGAGCTGTGGAACTGTCTCTTCATCCATTGTTGTAGAGTTCTAGTTAGTTGTCCCACCTCCTCTCTACTTGCCCCGCATCCTTCTGACCCCTCTCCTGTGATTTGGTTGTTCCCAGGCAGACCAGCTGGTGCTAAAGGACTTCCTGAGTGAGAAGCTGCCCCGTCTCTCCTCTCACGTGGACAAGTGCGGCGTGGACGTGTCCTCCGCCACCTTCACCTGGTTCCTGGTGGTGTTCGTGGAGGTCCTGCCCAGCCACATCCTCCTGCCGCTGTGGGACACCTTCCTGTACGAGGGCAGCAAGGTACACACCCAACAGTAGTAACAGTAGTAGTAGTAGTAATAGTACAGTAGCAGAGGTGGGCAGTACTTAGTAGTAGTTTCATTTACTCAGTTACATGTACGAGTTAAAGAGGGGGTATTAAGCGAAATCGATTGTTTTGAGCTTTCTTACCATTGTTCCTTCATCAAAAACATGCCTGACGAGGTTTTTAATGTCATCCAAGCATGTCTGAGTACCGTATTTTTCGGACTATAAGGCGCAGTATCAATAATGTTGAATTCTCTCGTATATTTTCATACATAAGGCGCACCGGATTATAAGGCACATCAAGCGAAACAAACAGATGACACTTGACTGATCCCTTATCCCAGGCATTCACGATCCATTGGCAGATTGGATTCGTGGCGTAATTCACCCGGCGTCGCCTCCCTGTTTTGGTGAATGTGGATTATGAATGTGAATGTGGGTGGATCATTTAAGTTAGTTTTTTTCTTTCTTACTAAGGAGGACTCAAACATACACTGAGTAATCATGTGTTTAATGCAGCTTTACGCACATTTGTTTATGTTTTAGAGAAATGAAACTTAAAACCACATGGCTAATTTGCATAAACTATAAGCGCTGAAAAAAACAGCTCGCTCTTTGTGCACTTCTGCGGTCAGCTTCGGTTGGACTAAAGGACACGACTTACTCTGCGAGGCTCCTGACTACAGTAACCGTAATACTCCGACAATCCATCAAGCGGTGCGGCTTCGTAGTTTTACCAAAGTCGTACTAAAACATTTTGACAGATTTTTGAGCGCCGTGCACCTCATAAAATCAGTTTGAGGCCAGTAAGGACAACCACAATTAATGCATAAGGCGAACCAGATTATAAGGCGCACTGTCTACTTTTAAGAAAATTAAATGATTTTAAGTGCGCCTTATAGTCAGAAAAATACAGTAATTAAGCAATCTCTCCTGCGCCTTATTCAAACCCTCCTTATGGTTAGCTGTACGATTCTGTCCGTAACCAAATGACGACAATTCTCCATAAATATACAAAAACATGATACAAAACTGTACACGACGACTTCCCAAACCTGATACAATGTGCAGTACCTTCATTAAAATAATAAAAGGTAACATGCTGCTCTAAATATGTCATCTGTTAACATTTAATACCCCAAAAATATGAAATACTCTCTTTATTTTTCAGAGTATTTTTCTGTCAACATAACTTTGAGCAGGGGCCATCAAATTAAGGCCCGTGGGCTGACTGTGGCCCACTATGCCCCTTTAACCGGCCCCTCTGCCCCTCTGCCCCACCACTAGAACTGGCCCTGTGAGACAATTCTCAAAAGTTCTCATGACCTCATTTAAAAAAAATACTTTTTGGCAAATAATAACACGTCAGCATCTTGTACTTGGTTGAATTTTTCAATTAAAAAAGGTTATTTATGTGAAGTATTTATATTTAAATAAGTATACACCTTATTTACGTATTTGCCGCCGAATTTGCCACCGAATTTTCATCACCTGCCACCGAAGAACAGAAAAATGCCTCGTGTTAAAGTACGAAAAGTTGACAGAGAGCGCAGAATTTTCAAAGAACAGTGGACGACCGATTATTTTTTTGTTCAGTGTAAAGACCGTGCAGTTTGTCTGATATGTAAAGAAAGTGTGGAGGTTTTTAAAGAATATAATCTGCGTCATCAGTGTCGTACAATTCTGTTATACGTCCGACCCGAGCGATAAAGTAGCCCCCAGAGAAAAAAAAAAAGTTGGTGACCCCTGGCTTAGGGTGTCCAGATTTTCAAAATAAAAAACTGGGACACCCCCTGTTTGTGGTGGTTGTAATAATAAAATGGTGAAACAAGTGCATAATTAAGGAAAATATCTCTGCTCTCAGCTCATTTGATGACTTACATGTGAGTCAGTATAGTCGTATTTTCTTCACGTTTTGGTCATTTTTAAGCAGGTTTTCTGTATTTTACTGAAAGAAATGACAATTTATGCCTCTCGTTACTGTTGGTAAGGATCAGATTGGTCAAAAATAAGGACTCCTGGGACATTTCTTTTATAAAACTGGGACAAATCACTGGTTTTGGATAAATCTGTTGGGACAGGGAACACAGGACTCAAAACTGGGACTGTCCCGAGTAAATAGGGACGTCTGGTCACCCTAACATAGTTGCTTTTGTTCATACTACTCATTCTACTGAAATTTATTATCATACAGTAAACACTTGAACAAGCTACTGTTTACTTTTGATTACTTGAAGTACTTTTCCTGTGCAGGTTCTGTTCCGGTTCTGCCTGGCCATGTTTAAGATGAAGGAGCCAGAGATCCTCCAGCTGTCCACGAACCTGGAGCTCTACCAGTACTTCAGGATCCTGCCCAAAACGGTCCTGGACTACAGGCGAGTCCTGGGCTTAGTCCTGGTTTAGTCCTGGAACTGGTTAGACCGTTGTGGGTGGAGTAGTGTACTGTACTTGGCTGCAGTTGTAATTACAGGGACATTGACAAACAAACGTACTTCAGGATGTTTTAGTAGTTTGTGTGCAGCTTTTCTGGCTCCTACTGACTGTTATTTGGTCTAAAACCTGCTCTACATGATCCTGGTGTTTTTGTTCTGTTATTTTTTTCGCTATTTTCCCTGTTAAAAAAATCTGTCTGGACTCCAAATTCGCTCCTGTGACCTTAGTGTTGCGAGCTTCATTTAAGTGGAGCTGAATCCGTGTGTGTGAATCCGTTCATTCGTTTTTCAATATAAAACCAAAAATAAGAAAACAAAAAAAACCAACTATTTTCTTCATTATTTGTCTCCAAAACCAAAACGAAAAAATGGATAATGATTCATTTTTTCAGTTTTCGAACTTGTGTTTAAATGAAAAATGGAAAAAACAGATAAAGGCTGTTTCCTGTTTACGTGACTTCCGTGACTGCGATGTCGGACTTTTGCACCGCACACAGACTGAACCAGGACTGATCCAGGTCCGGGACCAGACCGGAACCAGATCAGGACTGAGATGGAGACTAGAGCAGGACCAGAGCGGGACCAGAGCGGGACCAGAGTGGGACCAGAGCGGACTCCGAGCCTCAGCTTTGAGCTCCAGCCCTGCCGTGGGCTCTGAGCCTCCGGTCTGGTCCCGGTCTGGTCCCAGCCTGGTCTCTGTCTCAGTCCCGGTCTGGTCTTGGTCTCAGTCCCGGTCTGGTCCTGGTCTGGTCTCTGTCTCAGTTCTGGTCTGGTCCCAGTCTCAGTCCCGCTCTGGTCCCGGTCTCAGTCCCGGTCTCAGTCCTGCTCTGGTCCCGGTCTCAGTCCCGGTCTCAGTCCCCCTCTGGTCCCGGTCTCAGTCCCGGTCCGGTCCCGGTCTGGTCTCAGTCTCTGTCTGGTCCCGGTCTCAATCCTGGTCTGGTTCTGGTCCCGGTCTCAGTCCCGCTCTGGTCTCTGTCTCAGTCTTGGTCTGGTCCCAGTCTCAGTCCCGCTCTGGTCTTGGTCTCAGTCCCGGTCCGGTCCCGGTCTGGTCTCAGTCTCTGTCCGGTCCCGGTCTCAATCCTGGTCTGGTTCTGGTTCTGGTCCCAGTCTGTCGCTGTACTTCTCTTCCCTTAAAAAATCCTCTGTACAACCTTTAAATGCGCCACTGTCCCTCTGATTGTAGTTACACAGAGACGATAGCGATTATACTCTTTTTTTTTCCTTACAGGAGGCTGTCGACCATCGCGTTTGACGAGCTGAACCCGTTTTCCCGCCGCGCCGTGAAGAATCGACGCACGCTTCACCTGGAGCGCCTCCAGAGGGAGCTGTGTGAACTGCGACGCCAGCAGCAGCTCTTCATGTCCCAGCGCAGCCTCCGCAAGAGCACGGACGAAGAGGAGGGAGCGGAGGGAGCGAAGGAGGAAGAGGAGGAGGAGGTGTTTGACAACAACAGCGAAGACGAATACACGGTGTCATGCATATGAGAAAAAAGTACTTGAGTAAAAGTCAAGAGTACTCTACAGTGTTGTGTATATGAGAAAATGTCAAGTACTCAAGTAAATGTCTGATATTCGAGTTAAAGTCAAGTACTCAGGTAAAAGGCAAGTACTCAAGTAAAACTCAAGTACTCTGGTAAAAATCAAATACTTGAATAAAAGTCATGGGTACTGTAAATGTCAGATATTCATGTAAAAGTCAAGTACTTGAGAGAAAGTCAAGACATGTACTTATTTAGTTCTTTAAAAGCGTGTACTTTTTTGGATAAATGTCACATATTATGCATTATTTGCTTGTCAAACAGCACCTTTGCTTTGGTAACTCATATTTAAAACTTAAAATAATGTATTTTTTTATGAACCAGACTTTATTTTCCAGCTTGGGGGCTCCCAATACTGACATCTGGTGGAGCAACTGGCAACAAAGGGAATTACCGTGAGGATAAAACTGAATTCATGAACCCAATTTGACAGCAGAAATACTCAAAAAGAAGTCGAATGATTTACAGACTTAAATACTCTTCAGGGTTTTTACTTATGACAGCACAATCCTGGGGAAATTCAGTGTTCAGTGACCACAGGGAGCAGATTTACTAAACAAGATTCATTGAACTAGTGTGAAGCAACTGAATACAACTCCAGGTTTGCTTTTAGTACAATAATATGTGTCCTTTAAGTCATGTACCTGAGTAGAAACTTTGTACTAGAGGTCTGAACGGGACAGGATTTTCAGTCCCACTCCGGCCTAGCCAGGTTAGCGCCACCTAGTGCCTCTGTTCAATTTCATTTCTCTTGAGAGACTAGGTCAGGAATTGGAATACACTAAATCAAGGGTGTCAAACATACGGCCCAGGGGCTTTAATCTGGCCCTCCAAGACCTTTAATCTGGCCCTCGGCTGGTTTTCTATTAAAATATTTTAATTATATTTTCTTTTAAAATATTGGTAATTTTCTGCGCCACTGAGCATATCAGCATCTCCAGTGTCTCTGTACGTGGCCCCTCCCACCAGAGCAGCACAAATGAAGACTTGTCTCTTTCCAAATGCTCTTAAAGGACGATCGTTTTGACTGTTGACCGTGACACCCTCATCAGCAAAATGTCAAAAATGAGAAAAGTGGAGTGCAGGATTTTCCAAGAAAAATGGACTTATCCCTATTTGGATACAAGTTCATGTTAAAACATTGTGTTGAAATTACAATTTTCTTAAAGTTTCAGGTTGTTCATAATATTATAATATTTTGTAAAAGAAAATGGGCTCTACTTTGTACGTGAAATAAAGTTACCTATACATGACCGAAACAAGTAAAAAAAACATGGGGCAAAATGGGCACGTGTATTTGGGTAAAAGTAGTATGAAACAAAATACATAATAAAATACGTACTTTTACAGTTACTATCCAACAGATCTTTCATTGCCAAAGCTACACATGTTTTTGTATTTTACACTAAAGCTTCTGCTGCTATTGCTGCACCTGCCTCTGTTACAGCTGTGGGCAGGGTGGCTCCAGTTCTTACTCACTCGGAGACTTGTGGAGGATGATCGTGTTTTAATAACAGTAAATGAATGTTTGTTTAGACTTTGTTTTGTGTCTGTGTAATCCCTCAGTCGTCCAGGTAGGATCCACGGCAAAAGAAAGATTCAATTTTGTCAACTAGATGCAAGTTTTGGTGGATACTGTCTTATTTCTGCCTGAAGTGAGGAGCTAACTACACTGAGACTACTGTAAAACTAACACACCAATTTGTTTACATTTTGAGTTTGTTAGTTGGGTTTACTGAACTGCTATTTTTGTTTTGATTTAGGTCTGAGGATGGACTTAAAATAGGAGAGAGATGATGTTAAAGACCCTTTTTTGTTCAAATATGGATTGTCTTTCCTAACAAAAATAGCCTCTTTAACTCCCCTCTCAAATTTTTTATTTTTTTTTTCCCTCTGGCTCAGATCTTTAAATCACTATCCTCAAAGGAGTGGGGAGATGTACAGCAGACTGTGGTCCTGTGCTGCTATCTCGTCTGTGCTGGTACATTCTCTTATGATTTTATTTTTTCCTTTTTGCGTTTATTTTTATTAATTTATTGTCTTGTCTGTGGTTGTAATTTAACCAAAAACTGAACCTGTCAAGCCTCTAAATTACCCAGTAACTTCGGGAGTCCATGTTTTTTTCACATTTAACACATAAGGGCATACGTAATACTGTATATATGTCAACTGCATGAATATATTTATGTATAAATGTGTGCCTTGTGGGATTATAATTAAAAATTGTGGAAAAAATAAAACTGAATTGATTAATTGATTGAAATGTCTGTTTTGTTTCTCCAGTGTAATGCCCACTGCAGTCTTCGCTACATCGGTCTACAGTGGTCCCTCGTTTATCTCCGGGGTTATTTTAAAAATAATCCACAATAGATGAAATTCGCGAAGTTGTAAGCTTTATTTTTGACGTTTATTATATCTGTTTTAAGGCTGTAAGACCCGTCACCACACACTTTATACGGGTTTTCTCAGGCAGGACAGTTACAACCCCTTTTTTGCATCCTTCTTAAAACTTATCGCTGCATTTCCTCCTCCTTTATGTAACGAACCGAAGATTAATTTATCCCGTTGTCGAGCCGTAACTTCTACATTCCGTCAGGGTGTCCAGAAGTCCATCTTTTTGTGCGATGGTTTGCATCTTCCTCTGTCTTTTGGGTGCGACCACAGGAGACTTTGTCGGTGCAGAAAGTTTCGTCGACATTGTGGGTTTTTTCAGGGTGAAAACTTGCAAACATGCAGCACTTCAGAACCACTGGTCCTGGTTTGGTCCTGGTTCAGTCCTGGTTTAGTCCTTGTTTACTCCTGGTTTATTCCTGGCTCAGTCCTGGTTTAGTCCTCATTCAATCCTGGTTTTGTCCTGGTTTACTCCTGGTTCAGTCCTGTTTTAGTCCTGGTTTAGTCCTTGTTTACTCCTGGTTTATTCCTGGCTCAGTTCTGGTTTAGTCCTCATTCAATCCTGGTTTTGTCCTGGTTTAGTCCTGGTTTACTCCTGGTTCAGTCCTGTTTTAGTCCTGGTTTAGTCCTGGTTTAGTCCTGGTTTAGCCTTGGTTTAGCCCTGGTTCAGTCCTGGTTTAGGCTTTGTTTAGTCCTGGTTCAGTCTTCGTTCAGTCCTGGTTCAGTCCTGGTTTAGTCCTTCTTTAGTCCTTGTTCAGTCCTGTTTTAGTCTTTGTTTACTCCTGGTTGAGTCCTGGTTCAGCCCTGGTTCAGTCCTAGTTCAATCCTGATTTAGTCCTGGTTTAGCCTTGGTTTAGCCCTGGTTTAGTTATGGTTCAGTCCCAGTTTAGTCCTGTTTCAGTCCTGGTTTAGTCCTGATTTAGTCCTAGTTTAGCCCTGGTTTTGTTCTGGTTCAGTCCTGGGTCAATCCCGGTTTAGTTCTGGTTCAGTCCTGGGTCAGTCCTGGTTTAGTTCTGGTTCAGTCCTGGTTTATTCCTGGTTCAGTCTTGGTTTAGTCCTGGTTCAGCCCTGGTTCAGCCCTTGTTCAGTCTTGGTACTCCATTCAGTGTAGCTAGATCTAAACTAGGACTAAACCAAGTCTAAACCAGGTCTAAACTAGGACTAAACTTAACTGTCTCTCACTGAACACTCCTGGGATGTTGCAGGACACAGAGACACTTTTGTACTGAGGATTGTTACTCTCCTCACTCTGTCTTGACAGTGGAACTCTGCCTCTTGATTTGCACTGAGGCTTTTTTGAGGTTTATATGATTATATTTTACTGCTCGGTGTGTTTAAATAAAGTGTTTTGTAACGGATTCACTGATGCCGACAGTCTGGATTTGTCCTGGTTTATTTGGTCGGCGAGAAGGGCAGAGGGAACAACAGTTTGTTTGTAACAGAATCCACATGTTTCACTTTGTCCCGAGCTGAAACAGACAAGATTATGATTATGGTATTTCAGTAGTAGTAGTAGTAGTAGTAGTAGTAGTAGTAGTAGTGATAGTAGTAACAGTAGTATTCTGAGTCTTACCTGATTCCCGTTGGTCTCTGGTCTCGGCCCACTGATCCGGACTCTGGTACCACCACAGAACCTGGACTGTAAACACACAAGCAGGTCAGTAATTGGGACTAAACCAGGACTAAACCAGACCAAAACCAGAACCATAGCCAGGACTAAAGCAGGAATAAACAAGAGCTAAACTAGGATTAAACCAGATCTAAACCAGGGCTAAACCAGGTCTAAATCTGGACTAAACCAGGACTAATCCAGGGCTAAACCAGATCTAAACCAGGGCAAAACCAGGACTAAACCAGGACTAAACCAGGGCAAAACCAGGGCAAAACCAAACGAAAGCCAGGACTAAACCAGGGCTAAACTAGGACTAAACCACGACTAAACCAGGGCTAAACCAGATCTAAAATAGGGCAAAACCAGATCTTAATAAGGACTAAACCAAATCTAAACCAGGACTAAACCAGACCAAAACCAGGACTAAAGCAGGGCTAAACTAGGACTAAAACAAATCTAAACCAGGACTAAAACAGACCAAAACTAGACCAAAGACAAGACTAAAGCATGACTAAACCAGGACTAAACCAAAACTAAACCAGAACTAAACCAAGACTAAACCAAGATCCAACCAGTGCTCAACCAAATCTAAACCAGTACTAAATCAGGACTCAGCCAGGACTAAATCAGGTCTATACAAGGACTAAAACAGACCAACACCAGACCAAAGCCAGGACATAAGCAGGACTAAACCAGGACTAAACCAGGACTAAACCAAGACTAAACCAGATCTAAACGAGAACTAAACAGGATTAAACCAGAGCTAAATTGAGTTTAAAGCAGGACTAAATCAGGACTCAACCAAATCGAAACCAGGACTATACCAGGGCTACACTAGGACTAAACCAGGAATAAATCAGATCTATACCAGGACTAAACCAGACCAAAACTAGACCAAAGCCGGGACTAAAGCAGGGCTAAATTAGGACTAAACCAAGATGAAACCAGGACTAATCCAGAACTAAACCAAGACTAAACCAGGATCCAACCAGTGCTTAACTAGGACTCAACCAGATCTAAACCAGGTCTATACCAAAACTAAACCAGAGCCAAACCAAGACTAAACCAGGACTAAACCGGGTCCTGTCCAGGTCCATGTTCTCACCGGTGTGGCTCTGTCCGACGTCGTTGCTGAAGGCTCCGATGGCTTTTCCGAGGCCAGGTGCATTCTGGGATTGTATGTAGTCCTTCAGGCCCTGCTCACAGAGGCCCCACCCCTCAGGCCTCATGTGGAAACGCTGCAGCTCGAACACGCCCCCCTCTGAGGGTGGGGCCTGCATCGTTTGCCAGGGTAAAAGGCGGGCCACCTCGTTGGTCTGTTTGGTGAGCATGGGGATGGCCTTGGAGATGTACTGCTCCAGCCAATCAGGATCCTGCGCCAGCGACGACCTCACCGCCGCACGCTGACAGTAACTTTCTGAGGGGATACAGAAGTACTCGAGTAAAAGTAGACCTGGTTTAGTCCTGGTTCAGTCCTGGTTTAGTCTAGAAATCGACCGATATGTCCAAAGACTCTGCTGATATTTTTGGGCCAATATGTACCGCTGATTTATTGCGCCGATAACGGATACGCTAAAAAGTGCAAATATCGGCGCAATATATCGGTTTATTTCTAGTCCCGGTTTAGTCCTGGTTTAGTCCTGGTCTAGTCTTGGTTCAGTCCTGGTTTAGTCCTGCTTTAGTCCTGCTTTAGTCCTGGTTTAGTCCTGTTTAGTCCTGGTTTAGTCCTGTTTTAGTCCTGGTTCAGTTCTGGTTCAGTTCTGGTTCAGTTCTGGTTTAGTCCTGGTTTAGTCTGGGTTCAGTCCTGGTTTAGTCCTGGTTCAGTCCTGGTTCAGTTCTGGTTTAGTCCCAGTTTAGTCCTGGTTTGATCCTGGTTTAGTCCTGGTTTAGTCCTGGTTTTGTCCTGGTTTAGTCCTGGTTTAGTCCTGGTTCAAACCCTGGTTTAGTCCTGGTTTAGTCCCAGTTTAGTCCTGGTTTCAGTCCTGGTTCAAAGCTGGTTCAGCCCTGATTTAGTCCTGGTTTTAGTTTATCCTGGTTTAGTCCTGGTTTAGTCCTGGTTCAGTCCTGGTTTAGTCCTGGTTTAGTCCTGGTTCAAGTCCTGGTTTAGTCCTGGTTCTAGTCCTGGTTAGTCCTGGTTTAGTCCTGGTTAGTCCTGGTTAGTCCTGGTTTAGTCCTGGTTTGATCCTGGTTTACTCCTGGTTTTGTCCTGGTTTAGTCCTGGTTCAGTCCTGGTTCAAAGCTGGTTCAGCCCTGATTTAGTCCTGGTTTAGTACCGGTTTAGTACCGGTTTAGTCCTGGTTTAGTCCTGGTTCAATCCTGGTTCAGTCCTGGTTAAGTCCTGGTTCAGTCCTGGTTTAGTCCTGGTTCAGTCCTGGTTCAGTCCTGGTTTAGTCCCAGTTTAGTCCTGGTTCCTGGAGTCCTGGTTTAGTCCTGGTTTTAGTCCTGGTTTAGTCCTGGTTTAGTCCTGGTTCAACCCTGGTTTAGTCCTGGTTTTAGTCCCAGTTTAGTCCTGGTTCAGTCCTGGTTCAGTCCTGGTTTAGTCCTGGTTTAGTCCTGGTTTAGTCCTGGTTTAGTCCTGGTTCAGTCCTGGTTTAGTCCTGGTTCAGTCCTGGTTCTAGTCCTAGTTCAATCCTGGTTTAGTCCTGGTTCAGTCCTGGTTCAGTCCTGGTTTAGTCCTGGTTTAGTCCTGGTTCAATCCTGGTTTAGTCCTGGTTCAGTCCTGGTTCAGTCCTGGTCTAGTCCTGGTTTAGTCCTGGTTTAGTACCGTATCTCCAGATGTGGAAGACCTGGTTTAGGGCTCCGTACTCGACGCTCCAGTACCCGATGAGCTGGGAGTGGGCGGTCCTCAGGTGGATCTTCTGATTGGTCAACTGGAGGAAGCGCGTGTACAGGTGCGGCTGGACGTCATAGACCCGGAACTCGTACAGGGCCCGGTCTGAGGACTGGGCCCAGGAGCAGAACCCGGACCGGATCTGGACCTGAGGAAAACCACAAGTCTCACTGCTCACGAGGAAATGCTCTGTTTTGTTAGAAAATTAAACCGAAATACAGAAGGACTTTGGATTAAACTAGGCCTAAACCAGGTCTAAACTAGGACTAAACCAGGTCTAAACAAGGACTAAACCAGGTCTAAACAATAAACTTGGACTAGTGAATATTCAATCCTGCCGTAGTTGTGTATTTTCTGTAGGACTCATGAGGTGGTCTGAGTTGGTCTTTGGACTCTGTGCTGCTGTTTATGTTTAACCACACAACCTATGCAGTACAATAGTATTTTACTATTTAGTCCTGGTTTAGACCTGGTTTAGTCCTGGTCTAGATCTACTTTAAACCAGCTTTAGTTCTTGTTTAGTCCTGCTTTAGACCTGCTTTAGATCTGGTTTAGTCCTGGTTTAGGCCTGGTTTAGACCTGGTTTAGACCCGGTTGAGACCTGGTTTAGTTCTTGTTTAGTCCTTATTTAGTCCTGCCTTAGTCCTGATTTAGTTCTTGTTTAATTTTTCTTTAGTCCTGGTTTAATCCTGGTTTAGACCTGGTTTAGTTCTTGTTTAGACCTGGTTTAGCCCTGGTTTAGTCCTGCTTTAGTCCTGGTTTAGTCCTGGTTTAGACCTGGTTTAGTTCTTGTTTAGTCTTTCTTTAGTCCTACTTTAGACCTGGTTTAGTTCTTGTTTAGACCTGGTTTAGCCCTGGTTTATTCCTGCTTTAGTCCTGGTTTAGTCCTGGTTTAGACCTGCTTTAGTTCTTGTTTAGTTCTCATTTAGTCCTGCTTTAGTCCTGGTTTAGTTCTTGTTAGGTCTTTGTTTAGTCCTGCTTTACTCCTGCTTTACTCCTGCTTGAGACCTGTTTTAGATCTGCTTTAGACCTGGTTTAGACCTGCTTTAGACCTGGTTTAGATTTGATTTGATTTACTTCTGCCTGGGTGTTTGTGTGTGTCTAAAAATAAATATTGATCTGTATTTACAAAGTTTACAAAGTTTTGTACAAACCACAAATGCATAAAAACAGACCATGATGCAAACAATTCAAGTAATTATAATAAATAAAAAGAAACAAGAAATAAAATCAATATAAAACCAGCTAAATGAAGACCAACAGATACAAATTGGCTTTAAAAACTGATTTAAACGATGATACTTTTGGTGCCTGGGTACCTGTTTTTGCAGCAGAACTCGTCCCAGCTTGGACCACTGCATCATGGCTCTTCGGGACCGGGTTGAGTCCTGGTTTAGTCCTGGTTTAAAACAGTTTCTGTCTTGGAGCTATCACAAATAGCTCTGGTTTTTATCTTGATTCAGACCCAGTTTAGTCCAGAGCCTGTGGAGGTAAAAGGTGACCACAGGAGGAGTGGTCAGAGATCCTCTATGGGACAGGAGCTCTCACTGTTACTGGGTTTACTGATTTACTTGGAATTTAGTCATGCAAAAAAAAAACAAAAAAAAAACAGTTAAATATATAATTTTGCTTACTTGAATGAATTTTGCTATATGAAATTATAATAAATCAGTGCAATAAAATACAAAATGTGATATCAAAAGAGAAAACAGTATGCAGATAATACTCCCTACAACTGTACAACAACTGACCCTTATGTAACACATAATACTCCCTACAACTGTGCAACAACTCACCCTTATGTAACAGATAATACTCCCTACAACTGTACAACAACTCACCTTTATGTAACAGATAATATTCCCTACAACTGTACTATGTCTTATCCTGATGTAGCAGATAATACTCCCTACAACTGTGCAACAACTCACCATTATGTAACATATAATACTCCCTACAACTGTACAACAATTCACCCTTATGTAACATATAATACTCCCTACAGCTGTACAACAATTCACCCTTATGTAACAGATAATACTCCCTACAACTGTATAACTATATAATACTCCCTACAACTGTACAACAACTCATCCTTATGTAATATATAATACTCCCTACAACTGTACAACAACGCACCCTTATGTAACAGATAATACTCCCTACAACTGTACAACAACTCACCCTTATGTAACAGATAATACTCCCTACAACTTGTCTTCCTATGACCTCTTGTATATAGCTGAGATTTTATATTTTGTAACTTATTTTTCTATTTTATTTTCACTTTTACATTTACAATTCTGTCTTATTTCACACCAGTCTCTTGCTCATTTTTGCTACTTAGAATTCATTATTACCGTTAATAATTTTTACTTTTTGTTATTATAATGTATTGTGATGTGTGAGCTACAGTGTCCAAATAATAATTAAAAATAATAAAAATAATAAAATAATTTCCTTTGTGGATCAGTAAAGTTTGTCTAAATTTGAGCCAACCTCAGCCTCTCGTCAATGAAGAAACAAGACTGCTGGGGTGTTTTTAAGGTAATCATTATTTATAATTATTTTCTGTGTAAAATTTAATTGTATTTATTTTATTTTATTTTATTTTATGGAATGCTATTTTTCTTTTCTTTTTTTTTTTCTTTTTTTTTTTTTAACTTATAAAATAAATTAATTAATTTAAAAAATACGCAGAAAGATGCAGTGTTCATTCCTGTCCAGACGGTGGCGGTGGAGCGCTCCTTCCTTGACCTTCTCGCTCTGAAGAAGAACAGAGTTCACGTGCTCCTCCTGTAGCGGTGCTCGTGCTGTTTACCTCTGACCGATCTGACCCGGACTGACCCGGACCAGACCCGGACCATGCTCCCGGGGCTTCGGGCCTCGCTGCTCGGCCTGCGCGCCTGTGTGAGCGCCGCGTCCCGGAGGTCTCTGCACCGCGGGGCGCCGCTCTCCCACGGCCGTCTCCGGAGCCTCGGCGGCCGGACTCACGGACACAGCTGCACCGTGGACCCCGCACTCACCGAGCAGTTTGTCTTTGAGGACTGTGTGGACCCCAAACAAGACCAGGACCCGGACTTGACAGGTGAGGAGCTTCAGACCTGGTTTAGACCTGGTTTAGTCCTGGTTTAGTCCTGGTTAGACCTGGTTTAGACCTTCATTAGTCCCTGGTTTAGTCCTGGTTTAGACCTGTTTTAGTCCTGGTTTAGACCTGCTTTAGTCCTGCTTTAGTCCTGGTTTAGACCTGCTTTAGTCCTGGTTTAGACCTGCTTTAGTCCTGGTTTAGACCTGCTTTAGACCTGCTTTAGTCCTGCTTTAGACCTGCTTTAGTCCTGCTTTGTTTAGACCTGCTTTAGTCCTGGTTTAGACCTGGTTTAGAACTGCTTTAGTCCTGCCTTAGTCCTTCTTTAATCCTGGTTTAGTCCTGGTTCAGTCCTGATTTACTCCTGGTTTGGACCTGGTTTGGACCGGGTTCAGACCTGGTTTAGACCTGCTTTAGACTTGGTTTAGACCTTCTTTAGTTCTGGTTTAGACCTTCTTTAGTTCTGGTTTAGTCCTGGTTTAGATCTGCTTTAGTCCTGCTTTAGACCTGCTTTAGACCTGCTTTAGTCCTGGTTTAGTCCTGGTTTAGACCTGCTTTAGTACTGGTTTAGACCTGCTTTAGACCTGGTTTAGTCCTGGTTTAGACCTGCTTTAGTCCTGGTTTAGACCTGCTTTAGTCCTGGTTTAGACCTGGTTTAGACCTGGTTTAGTCCTGGTTTAGTCCTGGTTTAGTCCTGGTTTAGTCCTGGTCTAGACCTGTTTTCGATATTGGTAATTTAAGCTTCAACTCAGACCAACATCATTAAATCTTTCTATCTTCATGGAGACCAAACCAGACAGAGTTCGAGGTCAGATCTGTGGAGAGGCGACCCCGCTCACAGTCAGAATGTTGTTTTTCTTGGTATTTTTTAACTACAAAACCACCTGTAATTTAATAAATGTAGAGTAGAGCTGTTTAATGTCATACTGTGGAACATTCCAGGCAGAGCAATGGCGTATCCATGGAAACAAGAAGGTGACAGACCCCCAACCAAACGATATTGATATTCTGTCTCTGGTCCAGATTTGTTCCAGTTGCCTCCTGACCCTGAACCTTTGACGCCCTGTGACCCCGTGACCCCAACACACAGGAAGAGGCGGGGCTTGGAACGGCAGCTGCAGGCTCTGAAGTCCATGGTGAACCAGGACCAGGACCAGAACCAGGACCTGATCCACTTCCACGACTCCCCAGGTCCAAATCTGAGACCAGGTACAGATCAAAACAAAACACACGCAGCTTAGATCAGACTCAAGAGACAATGTACTAAGTTTGAATAGAACCACATGGGAACCTAAAGAAAAGACTTTTATTTTGTGCTGAAATTTCTATTCTGTTATAAGTAATTTTTTCCATCATTGTGGTTGTGAAATTTGTGTCTAGTATTGAGCCTTTTCCTTCATTTTGAAATCACGTTTGAAATGTTAGTATCACGACAACACTTCTACAGTCACAGCTGAACCTGTCCTGTGTTTCCAGAGCCTAAACCTGCAGACAGAGACACGTCCGTCCAAGTTTGTTTCAGTCTCAGTTTATGTTCAGGCCTCGTGTGAACACTCAGAACCTCCAGAATTCCCTCCCTGAGCTGCAGAGGCTGCACTAGCACTGAGTCATGATTGGCTGCAGGTTTAGGTTAGGGTTCAGATCTGAGAGAGGCATTTTAGGTTTAAACCACCTGGATTTCAGTATGGAAACTGGCAACACAAATGAGAGACTCGTGTGAGGTTCATTCTGTTTTCTGATTGGAGAATCATGTTGGAACCAAAATACTAAATTAAGAAATAATTAAATGGGCATTATTGCCCAATGTTTTTGTAAGTAAGAATAATTTGAAAACAAATTTGAATTGTTTTCAGTAAAAGCTAGATTGATTTGAACATGTACAGTAGCAGTAGTAGTAGAAGTAGTAGTAGTAGTAGTAGTAGTAGTAGTAGTAGTAGTAGTAGTAGTAGTCTTTAAACTATGTTTGTAGAAATGGAAAGCAGTGTAATCCTAATTACTGATGTCCACCTTCAAAAAATAATGGAAATTTGACATTTGTAGAAAGGCAATGTTGAGGAGGAGTGAGTCTGCTCCCTGTGACCTGGGGGTGGGAGACGATGAGTTTCTTTTTGTTCTTTACTGTCCACTCAATTCTGATTTATAATAATAATGCTTTCGTTTTATGTAGCACTTTTCTGGACACTAAAAGACGCTTTATAGAAGAGTATTCAGTCACTCCACACCCGGTGGTGGTAAGCTACTATTATAGCCACAGCTGCCCTGGGGCAGACTGACGGACGCAAGGCTGCCAATCTGCTCCATCGGTCCCTACAACCACCACCAACACTCAGACAGTGTAGGTGAAGTGTTTTGCCTATGGACACAACGACAGTTTTTGTGACTGGCGCCCCCCTGTGGCACCTGATTTTCCCAGTGTCTCCCATCCAAGTATTAACCAGACCCTGTTGAGCTTCTGAGATCTGATGAGATCAGAGTTTTGACAAGGTCACATCTCCACCTTTTATTTTATTTACTGCTATAAAGTCTTCAAACCCTGATGTATTTTGGTTGCCAGATGATAAAATTATGAGTTGGTTTTATAATGAAGAGTTTTTTGTTTTGGTTCGTTATATCTCTACAGCCTCTGGGACAGGAGACAACAAGTACTATGTCCTGTATGACTGGAGTATGTTTTTGTCTGGGTGGTTATTTGTTTATTTATCAGTCTGTTTGTGTCTTGTCCTAGATCCTGGTCCAGATCCAGGTCTAGACCCAAGTGCTGGGTTCTCGTCCGTCCCCTGCTCTGGCTGTGGGGCTCTGCTGCAGACTGTCGACCCTGTGGTCCCGGGGTTCCTGCCTCCACACCTCTTCAAGAACCTCCAGGACCAGAACCAGGACCAGGGCCAGAGCCAGGACCAGGACCAGAAACAGGGCAAGACCAAAGGCAAACCCAAGTCCAGTTCAGAGCCGAGTATGTGCCAGCGCTGTCACCTCCTCACGCACCACCAGCAGCTCCTGGAGGTCACGCTCGACCAGGAGCACTTCAGAAAAACTGTGAGTAAACCAGGACTAAACCAGAACTTAAACTCAGGACTTAAACTCAGGACTAAACTCAGGACCTAAACTCAGGACCTAAACTCAGGACCTAAACTCAGGACTTAAACTCAGGACTTAAACTCAGGACTTTAACTCAGGACTAAACCAGGACTTAAACTCAGGACTTAAACTCAGGTCCTAAACTCAGGACTAAACCAGGACTTAAACTCAAGACTTAAACTCAGGACCTAAACTCAGGACCTAAACTCAGGACCTAAACTCAGGACTTAAACTCAGGACCTAAACTCAGGACCTAAACTCAGGACCTAAACTCAGGACCTAAACTCAGGACCTAAACTCAGGACCTAAACTCAGGACCTAAACTAGGACTTAAACTCAGGACCTAAACTCAGGACTTAAACTCAGGACCTAAACTCAGGACTTAAACTCAGGACCTAAACTCAGGACTAAACTCAGGACCTAAACTCAGGACCTAAACTCAGGACTTAAACTCAGGACTTAAACTCAGGACTTAAACTCAGGACTTAAACTCAGGACTTAACTCAGGACTTAAATCAGACTCAGACTAAACTCAGACTAAACCAGGACTTAAACTCAGGACTTAAACTCAGGACCTAAACTCAGGACCTAAACTCAGGACCTAAACTCAGTACCTAAACTCAGGACTAAACCAGGACTTAAACTCAGGACCTAAACTAGGACTTAAACCAGGACTTAAACTCAGGACTTAAACTCAGGACCTAAACTCAGGACCTAAGCTCAGGACTTAAACTCAGGACTTAAACTCAGGACCTAAACCAGGACTTAAACTCAGGACCTAAACTCGGGACCTAAACTCGGGACCTAAACTCGGGACCTAAACTCGGGACCTAAACTCGGGACCTAAAACTCAGGACCAAACCAGGACTTAAACTCAGGACTTAAACTCAGGACTTAAACTCAGGACCTAAACTCAGGACCTAAACTCAGGACCTAAACTCAGGACCTAAACTCAGGACTAAACCAGGACTTAAACTCAGGACCTAAACTCAGGACTTAAACTCAGGACCTAAACTCAGGACCTAAACTCAGGACCTAAACTCAGGACTAAACTCAGGACTTAAACTCAGGACTTAAACTCAGGACTTAAACTCAGGACTTAAACTCAGGACCTAAACTCAGGACCTAAACTCAGGACTAAACCAGGACTTAAACTCAGGACCTAAACTCAGGACTTAAACTCAGGACTTAAACTCAGGACTAAACCAGGACTTAAACTCAGGACCTAAACTCAGGTCCTAAACTCAGGACTAAACCAGGACTTAAACTCAGGACTTAAACTCAGGACCTAAACTCAGGACTAAACCAAGACTTAAACTCAGGACCTAAACTCAGGACCTAAACTCAGGACCTAAACTCAGGACCTAAACTCAGGACTAAACCAGGACTTAAACTCAGGACCTAAACTCAGGACCTAAACTCAGGACTAAACCAGGACTTAAACTCAGGACTTAAACTCAGGACCTAAACTCAGGACTAAACCAAGACTTAAACTCAGGACCTAAACTCAGGACCTAAACTCAGGACCTAAACTAGGACTTAAACCAGGACTTAAACTCAGGACTTAAACTCAGGACCTAAACTCAGGACCTAAACTCAGGACTTAAACTCAGGACTTAAACTCAGGACCTAAACTCAGGACCTAAACTCGGGACCTAAACTCGGGACCTAAACTCGGGACCTAAACTCGGGACCTAAAACTCGGGACCTAAAACTCAGGACCTAAACTCAGGACTTAAGCTCAGGACCTAAACTCAGGACCTAAACCAGACTTAAACTCAGGACTTAAACTCAGACTCAGGACTTAAACTCAGGACTTAAACTCAGGACCTAAACTCAGGACCTAAACCAGGACTTAAACTCAGGACTTAAACTCAGGACCTAAACTCAGGACTCAGGACTAACTCAGGACCTAAACTCAGGACTAAACTCAGGACCTAAACTCAGGACCTAAACTCAGGACCTAAACTCAGGACTTAAACTCAGGACTAAACTCAGAGGACCTAAACTCAGGACCTAAACTCAGGACCTAAACTCAGGACTAAACTCAGGACTTAAACTCAGGACCTAAACTCAGGACTTAAACTCAGGACTTAAACTCAGGACTTAAACTCAGGACTAAACTCAGGACCTAAACTCAGGACCTAAACTCAGGACTAAACCAGGACTTAAACTCAGGACTTAAACTCAGGACTTAAACTCAGGACTTAAACTCAGGACTTAAACTCAGGACTTTAAACTCAGGACCTAAACTCAGGACTAAACCAGGACCTAAACTCAGGACCTAAACTCAGGACTAAACCAGGACTTAAACTCAGGACTTAAACTCAGGACTTAAACTCAGGACCTAAACTCAGGACTTAAACTCAGGACCAAAAAAGGACTTAAACTCAGGACTTAAACTCAGGACCTAAACTCAGGACTTTAACTCAGGACCTAAACTCAGGACCTAAACTCAGGACCTAAACTCAGGACTAAACCAGGACCTAAACTCAGGACCTAAACTCAGGACCTAAACTCAGGACCTAAACTCAGGACCTAAACTCAGGACTAAACTCAGGACCTAAACTCAGGACTTAAACTCAGGACCTAAACTCAGGACCTAAACTCAGGACCTAAACTCAGGACCTAAACTCAGGACCTAAACTCAGGACCTAAACCAGGACTTAAACTCAGGACTTAAACTCAGGACCTAAACTCAGGACCTAAACTCAGGACTTAAACTCAGGACCTAAACTCAGGACCTAAACTCAGGACCTAAACTCAGGACTTAAACTCAGGACCTAAACCAGGACTTAAACTCGGGACTCAGGACCTAAACTCACAGGACTTAAACTCAGGACTTAAACTCAGGACCTAAACTCAGGACCTAAACTCAGGACCTAAACTCAGGACCTAAACTCAGGACTAAACCAGGACTTAAACTCAGGACCTAAACTCAGGACCTAAACTCGGACCTAAACTCGGGACCTAAACTCGGACCTAAACTCGGACCTAAACTCGGGACCTAAACTCAGGACCTAAACTCGGGACCTAAACTCAGGACCTAAACTCAGGACCTAAACCAGTCTAAACCGGCTCTGTTTTGTCTCAGATCTCGTCCAGAATTCGCTCGGCCCGGGTCCTGGTTCTCCTGGTGGTGGACTTGGTGGATCTGCCCGACTCCATCATCCCAGACCTGAAGGACCTGATTGGAACCAACAAACAGGTCTGGACCCGGTCTCTGTTCAGTCTGTTCATGAGAACAGTTAGAGCGCTCGCTTCTCTCGTTTGGTTCCTGTAATTTATGTTAAAAAAAATTGAGAGAGTTTTTTGGAGTTTGTATTTTTTGACTGACCAAAAATTTCTTTAGACGACGACAGTGCTAACGTGCAGTAGAAGTAGCAGTAGTTGTACCAATTGTAGTAGCAGTACCAGCAGTAGTAGTTCTAGTAGTAGTAGTAGTAGTAGTGGTAGTAGTAGCATCAGTATCAGTAGTAGTAGTTCTATTAGCAGTAGCAGTAATAGTAGTTGTAGTAGTTCTAGTAGTAATAGCAGTAGCAGTAGTAGCAGTTGTAGTAGTTGTTGTTGTTGTTGTAGTAGTAGTAGTAGTAGTAGTAGTAGTAGTAGTAGTAGTAGTAGTAGTAGCATCAGTAGCATCAGTAGCAGTAGTAGTAGTTCTAGTAGCAGTAGCAGTAATAGTAGTTGTAGTAGTAGTAGTACTAGTAGTTGTAGTAGTAGTACTAGTAGTAGTAGTAGTAGTAGTAGTA